TTTGTAAATGAATGCTGAAGGTCCAAGTCACTTGAAGCCATTTAGAAACCAGTCATAAGAATTTTAACGGGGATGTTGTGTAATGTCGGGACGACATTGTTTTGTAAGATGGGGGTATTGTAGAGAGTTCAGTCTCAGTCCAGGTGGACAGGATGAGGGGAAAAACCCACGGCAGAGTTCAGTCCAGGTGTTTGGCGCGTAGCAGATAAATCAAGACTTAAGAAGGTAGGGGGAGTAATCTCTAGCGACGCCTTGGTTGGCTGGTGGACCTATAAGAGGGGACGGTTAGATTGGAGAGGGGAGGAACGACAGAGAGCAGAGAGAGGTAGAGAACAGCGACGGTAGAGGAAGAGGGCAGTCAGAGCTGTGAGATGAATGAAAGTGTAAGCAAGTGACAGAGCCAATAAAGAACACGAGTTTACTCATCAAATGTATCACCGGAGTTGTTTACTTATTGAGTACCAGAGATGAAGTTTGTCGGAGTGTAAGCAAGGTTCCTTACAATATTGTGGGTGTCTAGGCGTTGAGACAGACAAAAGCACAACGTAGACTTGGATGAAATGCAACAACTCAAACTCCAGGTGTCCAACGATAATGAAAGTATGTTTATTTCTAGGATATAAGTTTCTTCTATCATCTGTCGTCTTCTGGTCCCTAGCAAGTATACCCTAACAACTGATCAGTTCTATCGTAGCTCTTTTCTCTCTCTTCCTCAACTAATCCGTAGTTCTTCTCGATCTTCCTCAACTAACAACTGTCGCTCCTTTCCCTCTTCCTCAACTACGTCGTACCTCTGTTCTCTCTCCCTCAACTCCCTTAACTCAGTGAAAGCTCCCTCTTATATGTGATTCTCTACCCCCATAGGTGGTCCAGGAATGCTATCTATAAACACACCCATGCCCCCTAATTTCCGGTCAATTAGAACTTCCCATTGTTAACCCAAAAACTATCACGCGAAGTCTGGAAAACCCGAGACATATGCTTTGGAAAGAAACATCCTCCTATCTTCAAGATGCGAGAGTCTATTAACCTTAACTTCACCTCCTACTCTAACAATTCCTTCCCTAAACTAACAGCAGTTTCCGTCCATCCTATAAGTTACCTTAACCACAATGGAGCTCTGTCCTGTACCCCCGCCCCAGTCATTTGTGACACATACATACATACACACATACATACATACATACATACATACATACATACATACATACATACATACATACATACATACATACATACATACATACATACATACATACATACATACATACATACATACATACATACATACATACATACATACATACATACATACATACATACATACATACATACATACATACATACATACATACATACATACATACATACATACATACATACATACATACATACATACATACATACATACATACATACATACATACATACATACATACATACATACATACATACATACATACATACATACATACATACATACATACATACATACATACATACATACATACATACATACATACATACATACATACATACATACATACATACATACATACATACATACATACATACATACATACATACATACATACATACATACATACATACATACATACATACATACATACATACATACATACATACATACATACATACATACATACATACATACATACATACATACATACATACATACATACATACATACATACATACATACATACATACATACATACATACATACATACATACATACATACATACATACATACATACATACATACATACATACATACATACATACATACATACATACATACATACATACATACATACATACATACATACATACATACATACATACATACATACATACATACATACATACATACATACATACATACATACATACATACATACATACATACATACATACATACATACATACATACATACATACATACATACATACATACATACATACATACATACATACATACATACATACATACATACATACATACATACATACATACATACATACATACATACATACATACATACATACATACATACATACATACATACATACATACATACATACATACATACATACATACATACATACATACATACATACATACATACATACATACATACATACATACATACATACATACATACATACATACATACATACATACATACATACATACATACATACATACATACATACATACATACATACATACATACATACATACATACATACATACATACATACATACATACATACATACATACATACATACATACATACATACATACATACATACATACATACATACATACATACATACATACATACATACATACATACATACATACATACATACATACATACATACATACATACATACATACATACATACATACATACATACATACATACATACATACATACATACATACATACATACATACATACATACATACATACATACATACATACATACATACATACATACATACATACATACATACATACATACATACATACATACATACATACATACATACATACATACATACATACATACATACATACATACATACATACATACATACATACATACATACATACATACATACATACATACATACATACATACATACATACATACATACATACATACATACATACATACATACATACATACATACATACATACATACATACATACATACATACATACATACATACATACATACATACATACATACATACATACATACATACATACATACATACATACATACATACATACATACATACATACATACATACATACATACATACATACATACATACATACATACATACGTATGTATGAAGGGGAATATACATTATCAGTTTTGTAAAGCGTTGTTATTAAATCAAAGAGACTTTGGAGTCTTGGCTAACTTTGGCGATTTTGTCTATGACGTCATTTGCGTATTTATTTAGAAGAAATTAATTTTAAGTTTATTTCGCAATATTAGCAATGCACGCACGAAAAAGAACCGATGCTTGGGTTTTCCCGATAAAAATGATTACGGTAGAATTCTTTCATCATAATGTTTTTTATTTAATAGTTTACATAACTTTCAAACACATGTCATGCTTAAGATAATTCCTTAGTTGTTTCTTTTGCTATAATATTTTTTGCGCAATTAAAGTTATTTGATTTCAACAAAATAATAGAAAATGACCATGATCTCATTCTTAAATATATATATATATATTAACATTTTGTAAAATATTATTTCTCTATTTCAGGGGTGTAAGGTTGCGGGCCGAACAGAATTAAAACAGGGCCGATCAGGCCGAAAATTTAACTTGAAAATAAAAAGAACATTTATATAAATGAAAACAGAAGAAAAATCTTTACGAATTAAAAACCATTAGCGTAACCATTTTCTTTCTTTTGCCAATGTCTCAGAGCTGGATGTTTGGCACATGTCTCAGAGCTGGATGTTTGGCACATGTCTCAGAGCTGGATGTTTGGCACATGTCTCAGAGCTGGATGTTTGGCACATGTCTCAGAGCTGGATGTTTGGCACATGTCTCAGAGCTGGATGTTTGGCACATGTCTCAGAGCTGGATGTTTGGCACATGTCTCAGAGCTGGATGTTTGGCACATGTCTCAGAGCTGGATGTTTGGCACATGTCTCAGAGCTGGATGTTTAGCACATGTCTCAGAGCTGGATAATTTGCACATTTCTTGGCTACCAAAATAAGAAAGTTCGTTTATGTTTGGAGTAAAGTTTTGTGTCATTTATATTCTCATGATGAACTGCAATAGTTCATCAGTGAGACGACTCTGTGTGTTCTGTTAACCTTCATCACAGAAAATAGCTGCTCACAGATCTACGTGCTACCGAACATGCTCAATGTTGGAGCCGCATGTAGACTATTCAGGAATGAAACGAGTGAACTTTGCAGGCCCAACTGTGTCGTAATGTGCTTTTAGTGGTGTTTCATTACACTGCAGCTCCATTAGTTCCTTCTGCAATTTACAGGTGCAATTTCGACGTTAATGACAAATGGGTTACGAATCAGCTCGAAATTATTTTTCTAAGATTCAAAATCACTAAAGCACCGTGCGAACTTGGCGCAAAGAAAGTTAAGTTTTTTAACGAAGTGTTCATTTGGGAAACACCATAGCGTTGACTTGGATATAAGTGTACGGCGGTCAAGAACTCGCGGGCGTGATATAATTTTACGGTTGGCCGGATGTGACCCGCGGGCTTTCACTTTGACACATGTGCTATCACCCTATAAATGGGTAAAAACTTATTTTTATGTTTTAAATTTTTCTGATTTGATACATGTAGTTTGAATCCCCAAAAATTGTATTAGAAATAAATAGAAAGCTTCATTTCATTGAATTTATATTAAATATAACTTTCTTTCACTTACGAAACTTAACGAACACTTCAATCAGCGTTAATTCGTGGTCAAAATTCGGTTATACCGGGCAGTGTGTGTCATGTAAATAGGCATTTTTCAATTTGGTGTCACCCATGAGAGGGTATGAGCCGATGTGGTCCACATTCCCCTCGTACCACCCTAGCAACCCCATTTATCGGGAGTTACATTTTCTCCCCATGCTGAAATGGAAGCAGTCTCACCAAAATCAAAATATCATTTGTGATCATACCCCCTAGTTAAACGAAAGTTAACTGTGTTCGACGCACTCATTTTAAGAGGTTTTAATCGTTGTCTTATAAAGTGCAATAAATATTATAATTGTATTTTCAAACATCAAAATTTTGAGGTATTCCGGCCCACAGGGAAATGATCATCATATATAAGAGATCATTTGTACAATTGCACACCAATTTAAATGTGTGCACCATAATGCAGTAGGGAATGACGTTAAGCTGTGCTTAGTTCCATTATAGCATCCGGTTTATGCTGACAGACATTCTCGCACGTTTTAGGTTATCTTGATAAAAGTTGTTCTTTTTCTTCACAGAGACACTTGTGTCTTGTCAGTGAACTTAAGTTTTACAGGTGGGTTCAGTTAATGTCACACAGACATTCGTGCCTTGTCGGTGTACCTAAGTTTGACAGGTGAGTTCATTTAATATCACACATAAATTCGTGCCTTGTCGGTGTACCTAACCTTGACAGGTTAGTTCAGTAAATGTCACACAGACATTTGTGCCTTGTCGGTGTATCTAACCTTAAAAGGTGAGTTCAGTTAATGACACACAGACATTCGTGCCTTGTCGGTGTACCTAACTTTGACAGGTGAGTTCAGGTAATGTCACACAGACATTCGTGCCTTGTCGGTGTACCTAAGCTTGACAGGTGAGTTCAGTTAATGTCACACAGACATTCGTGCCTTGTCGGTGTACCTAACCTTGAAAGGTGAGTTCAGTTAATGTCACACAGACATTAGTGCCTTGTCGGTGTACCTAACCTTGACAGGTGAGTTCAGTTAATGTCACACAGACATTCGTGCCTTGTCGGTATACCTAACCTTGACAGGTGAGTTCAGTTAATGTCACACAGACATTAGTGCCTTGTCGGTGTACCTAACCTTAACAGTTGAGTTCAGCTAATGTCACACAGACATTAGTGCCTTGTCGGTGTACCTAACCTTGACAGGTGTGTTCAGTTAATGTCACACAGACATTCGTGCCTTGTCGGTGTACCTAACCTTGACAGGTGAGCTCAGTTAATGTCACACAGACATTAGTGCCTTGTCGGTGTACCTAACCTTGACAGGTGAGTTCAGTTAATGTCACACAGACATTAGTGCCTTGTCGGTGTACCTAACCTTAACAGGTGAGTTCAGCTAATGTCACACAGACATTCGTGCCTTTTCGGTGTACCTAACCTTGACAGGTGTGTTCAGTTAATGTCACACAGACATTCGTGCCTTGTCGGTTTACCTAACCTTGACAGGTGAGTTCAGTTAATGTCACACAGACATTAGTGCCTTGTCGGTGTACCTAACCTTGACAGGTGAGTTCAGTTAATGTCACACAGACATTCGTGCCTTGTCGGTGTACCTAACCTTGAGAGGAGAGTTCAGTTAATGTCACACAGACATTAGTGCCTTTTCGGTGTACCTAACCTTGACAGGTGAGTTCAGTTAATGTCACACAGACATTATTGCCTTGTCGGTGTACCTAACCTTGAGAGGAGAGTTCAGTTAATGTCACACAGACATGCGTGCCTTGTCGGTGTACCTAACCTTGACAGGTGAGTTCAGTTAATGTCACACAGACATTCTTGCCTTGTCGGTGTACCTAACCTTGAGAGGAGAGTTCAGTTAATGTCACACAGACATGCGTGCCTTGTCGTTAATGGCAACCATTCTTCGGTTGTTGTATTTTATTGTTGTTTTAGATTTAACTGCAGAGAATAGTCTACAGCTGCGTTCATAAAAATACCAAACATAGTAACCGTCAAAGGAGGAAAAGTGAAGATTACGCTATGTGCAAGAATACAGTTTCAAGAAATTTGAAACATATCAATAGAAACCAACCAAACCAAATCAAAGCTAGGACAATGTAATTAGATATTTGTGGTCAAACCCACGTAATATGGAGGAGAAAAAAATGGGTGGGCTGATGCCACATAAGACATCCAGATGAACGAAGCGTACAACTCTCCTTTGCCATAATCTTTGGGCACTTTTGACGTCCGAACCATCGTTTCATTGCTGCACGGTGTTTTGACACGGCGTAGCCTGTCCCCAAAGCAATTCCACTCCCTGCCCACCGATGACGTTCTTTGTTTCTTTGTTTTGGTGAGCGTCAACGTTTCATCAATTTGTTTTCACAGAATTTATGAACGAGGAAAAACCCAATCAGATTTGTCAGAATTGTTGCGAAATGTGGACTGGATAATCAAGTTGAGTATCTTGGCAGATATCTTTGCCAGCCAGTAGTGTTGGAGGTGGGGGGCTGCTTATTGCGGACGGCACATTTTTCTTTATATAGATGGGCAGTTGTTTTTTCCAATTCATGGAAGGTACGGAAGTGTTCTTGGTATAACCCGGAGAGGCACTGTCACTAGCTACGACGCAACTGCCCTCATCCTATATGAGCTCAACATATCCATGCAAGGAAAGAGCACTACGATAATCACAAAGGCTGACCATACCAATGGTCAAGGACGAAGGCTGAAGGGATGGTCCGTTGGTTTGAATAACGATTTGCAAGATAAGTTGTTGGATCTTGCTGCTGAATAAGGCAAAAAAGATCGTTTTCACCACTACGACATCACTAGCAAAATTTTGGAAATATTGGGATAACACTGGTCTTCAGCTTCTCCCTCCATTCATCTCGTTCCTGTGCTTTTCTTTCCAGTTGTGTATCCCATATAACTCTTCTTTGGGAAGAAGAGCCCTCTCATGTAGGGCTGAAAATGTTTGGATGAAAAAGGAGGAGGGTTGGCATGAGGCCAGCTTGGAGGAGGGTTGTGGTGAGGCCAACTAGGAAGAGGGTTAATGTGAGGCCAGCAAGAAAGATGGTTGGCGTGAGTTAAGCTTGATGGTGGGTTGGTGTGAGGTCAGCTAGGTGGTGGGTGAGCGTAAGGTCAGCTAGGTTGATGGGTTAGTGTGAGGCAAGCTAGGTGATGGGTTAGCCTGAGGTCAGCTAGGTGGTGGGTTGCCGTGAGGTCAGCTAGGTGGTGGGTTGCCGTGAGGTCAGCTATGTGATTGGTTGGCGGGAGGTCAGCTAGGTGGTGGGTTGCCGTGAGGTCAGTGAGGTGTTGGGTTAGTATGAGGCCAGCTAGGTGATGGGTTAGCGTGAGGTCAGCTACTAGGTGGGTTAGCGTGAGGTCAGCTAGGTGGTGGGTTGGTGTGAGGTCAGCTAGGTGATGGGTTGGCGTGAGGTCAGCTAGGTGGAGGATTGGCATGAGGCCAGCTAGGTGGTGGGTTAGTGAGAGGTCAGCTAGGAGGTGGGTTAGCGTGAGGCCAGCTAGTAGGTGGGTGTCCATGAGGTCAGCTAGGTGGTGGGTTGGTGTGAGGTCAGCTAGGTGTTGGTTTGGCGGGAGGTCAGCAGGTGATGGGTTGGCATAAGTTCAGCTAAGTGATGGGTTGGCGTGAGGCCAGCTAGGTGGTGGGTTGCCGTGAGGTCAGCTAGGTGGTGGGTTGGTGTGAGGTCAGCTAGGTGATGGGTTAGTGAAAGGCAAGCTAGGTGATGGGTTAGCGTGAGGTCAGCTAGGTTGTGGGTTGGCATAAGGCCAGCTAGGTGGTGGGTTAGCGTGAGGTCACCTTAGTGGTGGGTTAGCGTGAGGTCAGCTGGGTGCTGGGTTAGTGTGAGGCAAGCTAGGTGATGGGTTAGCGTAAGGTCAACTTGGTGGTAGGTTGCAGTGAGCTCAGCTAGGTGATGTGTTGGCGGTAGGCCAGCTATGTGGTGGGTTGCTGTGAGGTCAGCTAGGAGATGGGTTGGCGGGAGGTGCAGCTAGGTGGTGGGTTGTTGTGAGGTCAGCTAGGGTCTGGGTTAGTGTGAGGCCAGCTAGGTGATGGGTTGCCGTGAGGTCAGCTAGTAGGTGGGTTGCCGTGAGGTCAGCTCAGTGATGGGTTGGTCAGCTAGGTGGTGGGTTGTTGTGAGGTCAGCTAGGGTCTGGGTTAGTGTGAGGCCAGCTAGGTGATGGGTTGCCGTGAGGTCAGCTAGTAGGTGGGTTGCCGTGAGGTCAGCTCAGTGATGGGTTGGCGGGAGGTCAGCTAGGTTGAGGATTGGCATGAGGCCAGCTAGGTGGTGGTTTAGCATGAGGCCAGCTTGGTGATGGGTTGGTGTGAGGTCAGCTAGGTGGTGGGTTGACGTGAGGCCAGCGACCTCAACCGTAAAAAAGCTACAAAAAATCTAAAAAAAAGTGATTCTGCGCACTCCCAGTTTACTTCTTATGTTCTTATTTTCATGATGATGATGATGTTTTAAGCTGAAACAAACTACTTTGTCTTAGTGTGGTTACAGATCTGTAACGTATAGTGCCACAGTTAGAAGCGTGTACTCGAAAGAACACTTGTTTGTTGGGATTTCGTGGTCACACCTGTTGTCTTTTGCTCATTACGTAAATAGTTCGACTGTAACAGATGTCAAAGTGGACTTGAAAAATTGACTGACAGAATTACAGAAATCGATGCATTTATTTTTTCCAATGATTCCTTGCCAACACTTTTTCTGTGTCTCATAGTTTCCTCGCATTATATCCAGTGAGCCCGTGACCCGTCGCCTATGACCCGTCGCCTATGACCCGTGGCCTGTGACCTGTGACCTATATCTCCTGGCCTGCGACCTGTTGCTTAAGCTGAATTTATGTAAAGGATGCTTGAAATTAATGGAACACTTCTAGTTCTGCTTTTTCTAGTCATTGTATCAGGTAAGATTTTGATGGGGAAAATATATAAATTTATTACACTGCTTTGTCAATGATGCCTTAGAAGAGCGGCTGAAACAAAGATTGTCAATGATACATGAGACTGGTGTTTTCGATGTTTATGCATAAAGAAAAAAGCACTGGTTAAAGCATACTGAAACATTAACAATAAACATTATAAAAAAATAATAATAACATATTTAAATATATTTCATCAGTGGTTTCTTGACAGCACTGTTATAATTATAATACAAAATAATTAATTAAATCGGGGAGCTCATTGATTATTCTTGTTTGTGTTGTTGTTTGTCCTTTGCAAGTGAAGATGAACCAGTCTATTTTCTACTTGAGTAGTACGGTAGCCTTCACTCGGGCTGTATTTTGTTTAAAGTGATTGAGAGTGGCTCAATTCGTCAGCAATACCCTCTCGTCCTTGACTGTTTTAGTCAATGGCAAGAATTAGTCAAGACGTCTGGAAATATACCAGGATGCATCAGATGACCAGCAGTGTGTCATTTAGTAATGGAGAGGAAACATATTGGGGGGCGGTTGGGAGATACTATTATTACAAGTATAGAACATTAGCCGAGAATGAACACGTTTTACAAAAAAGAATGGTCACACAATTGTATATTTTCACTATATTTTCTTATGCAGTTTGCAGCGGTTGGGTCGATCGAACAAGAGTCTTTTTGGAACCATTTGATCAAAACACTTTCAAAAAAAGCTGTGGAAATGGTATGCTAGCCGGGAAAGACTACTTCGTAGTCAAAGGTCTTGTCAACATTAGCGGACTAGAAGAAGGTGAAATGGGGACGACTCAAATGATGATTACAAACCCGCAATACTGGGTCTGGATCTATAGGTCTGTAAGTAGGTCATTCTGGCAACAAATTTAGGCTTTGGGGGTAAATAGGTCCTTCTGGCAACAAAGTTAATTTTGGGGTAATATAACCGATTCTGGAAACAAACCTAAGCTGGTGATAAGTAGGTCATTGTTGCAACAAAGCTAAGCTGTGGGTAAGTAGGTCATTATGACCACAAAACTAAGCTTAATGTAAGTATGTCATGCTGGCAACAAAGCAAAGATGTGATTAAGTAGGTATTTCTTGCTACAAAGCTAAGTTAGAAGTCTCCACTCCCCCCCCCACCTTTGGTCTCTGGCAGCTAGCTCACTACCAATACAAGGGCCCTACAAGGATGACTGTTCGTCTTATGGGTGCTTTTTTCCTTTATTTTCAGAATTATTTCATTCTTTAAATCACAGAACTCAAGTTTTTTTTATTTTACTAAAGTTTCCATGGTTACTCCCCCCTACTCGTGAGTAGTTTTGAAAATATGATCCCATTGCTTCTCCCTAACTTTTTAAACTATTTTATTTATACATTTGGGAGTTGAAATATGGTGAAAAAAATGACTTAAGTTAGTTAATATTGGTTTATACGCGCTGCGGTTCTTGAAGAACATTGGGGATTATAGAAATATCACGTGTGTAAAGGACTCTTATGTGGGACCAATGTAGGTAGTGCTAGGAATATCTCGTGTGTGGGATGTCCTATACAAGAACCAGTGTAAGTGGTGATAGTAATATCACGTGAATGTGGGACTCTTAAGTAGGACCAATGTTGGTGTTGCTAGGAATGTCTCGAGTGTGGGGTGCTCAAATGAAATTCAAGAGTTCAATACCTTCTAGAAACTCGGTCTAGGTACGGTGTGGTTTTGAGTGGAGTAATTTTGTGTGTCGGGGTATGGTGTTTTTTACTGTGGTGTGGACAAATTGAAAAACAGAAGGGAAACGGGTGGAAAGGGAAATGGTGGGGGAGATTTCATGTAAGATGTAGGCTTAATGTTTCAGATGGCTTACGTACGAAATGCAAGGACAAATGAGGATAGTCTAGGAATACGAAATTCAGGGAATTGCCTTAAGCGAAGACGGCAGGAAGACTATAGGAAAATAATGATTTGTAATTTTGGAGAGGAGGTGTGATTTGTTTTAGAACTGTCTGTGAAGGACTTTTCTAATCAAGTGCGCTTGTACTTGAACGTTCTACATCCGTTCAGATTTGTTCAGCTAACACAGGATGGCACTTCCAGTTTTTAATAAAAAATATGAATTAAGAAATCACCCAATGAAAACTATCGGTAGAAGTTGCTGTAGAATTTAATACATATGTATAATATTTGTTTGTAAACTTTACAAATGTATAATAAAACTTTCTCTATCTGTGTATAGCTTAAAGATGCCAAAGTTCTTTTATACGAGGCAACCTGCAAGGATCTTGCTCAAATCCCTATCGACACTTGCAAATGCACGTTCATGGATAACAAATTCGTTCGCGTCAAGTGCAACATTACGGCACAACTTCAGTACAGCGGTGGTGTCGTCAGCTTGCGCTATGTACTGGGGACGTTTTATTTTAGTCCTCCTAGTTCACCCCTGCCTGTCATATACGGTGAGTAGTTTTCCGCTACCTGTCGAACACGGTGAGTAGTGTGCTCATTAGGTCCCACATAATAATAATACATTAATAACGGATTCGAAGTGGGTTTCAAGTGTGTGTTTTAAGTAACAACAAATAAATTAAAAATTCGCACATCTCAGAGCTCATCATTTCTTAAAAGAACCCGTGCAAATATCGCAACTACTGTAAGACCCGCTTATCTCGACCTTGGTTAACTCGCCAACCCTGTTTATATCGACGTTTTTGAAGTGGAACCGCCAATTTAGATCTTTGTTTTGTCTTAGCATATTCTCCTCGGTTATCTCGATCATCGGTTATCTCGACGCTTTTTGGCAAACCCCGAGGCCGTCGACATAACCGAGTTCTACTGTAATTGATGTTTTGTCTCATTGGAAACCTGTATTTTTTCAGGTACTCCTTCGTGCACAGCACGTTCTGCTAATCGAGGTAATTAATTATCGGTGTTCTCTTATAAGTCATTAGCTCTGCCATTGTCAGTTTTTAAGGGGACATGGTCCTTTGTAGAATGTCGATTAAAGAGCTTTTTAAAGGACTGCTGATTAAATTCACTTTTGTGTGATTACTGCAAAATCTTCGGACGGTGAATTGACCCAACATTGAGCTTAAATTTGGCGCATTTCTATCAAATGCTAAGCCTCCCCCCCCCCCACCCCTATCTAAAACCTGAAAAGTCAGTTATACCTGTTTGCTTTTCAATTTGAAGATAAAGGAAATATGATGACACTGATTTCATAAAATAAAATTCCTGATTACTGCGCTAAATAAGATTATTTAAAAGAAAATATTGCAAGCTCGTTTGGTGAGTAATATTTTTTTTAGTTTCTCTGTAACAGTTGGTGAAATAAATCTCTGGTGTAAACGCAGATGAGACACTTAAAATATCTAAAAATAATTTTAAAATATATAGCAAGGACTTATACTGAAAAACTTAGTTTGTAGCATTTCTTTATTCCACCAAAATATGTTTATTCTTTTTTGAGTAGTAGGACTTAAGATCTATAAATTTCTATTCAAACATTTTGGTCAACAGAAGCTTGAATAGAACTCAATAGAATAACAATCTAAACAGGCACAGGATCTAATAAAGTACTACTCTTTCGTTTCCCTTTTACAGCAGCAAAGATCCACCCGGAAAGCTTCACTGCTCTCATTGGTAGGTAATGTAGAACGTTATCTGAATATATTAATTAAAAATTGTTCGCTGCTTATCAAACTATGAGAAAAGACAACGCTATCTTGAACAGGAGATCAAAGGAAACTGGCAGGTGCATTTATAGACATCGTTGCCTGTAATATATGCCAGGGTTTTTCTCTGGCACAGTGTTCTTCGAAGTGCTGGTCCGCGGGCCAGCACCTGTCCGTGGGCCTTACTGTGCCGGTCTGCACAACATGAGCATCGAAACTGGATAAAAATTCTATAAATTTAAAGAAACATTTGAAAAAAAACAAACAATCCATGCATGGGCGTAAACGGTGCGTTTTCTCTCTTTGAAGTTTGTGCTCCCATAGTGAGCCTGCTTAAATAGAGTAGAAGATCTAAATTAATGCTTTCCGTGAGTTTTGGTATATGATATGTCTGTGGATTTAAAAATTATGTTAAGAAAATATTCAAACCTGTTTATTTCGCCACAACCCAATATTTCCATTGGAAAAGTGTCCTATTAATGTATAGCAATGCACAATGGCTATAGAGGAAATTACCAATAATTTGTATAGGAAAGTCCACATTATTTGTATAACTAACACACATATTCTGGTGAAGGTCTGAGATTACTCTCTTATGACCCCGGCTAGTAAATAAGCTACCAACTCCATATGCTGAGCTGAGCCATACAACATTTTCCTCACAAAGTTAATTCCAACCACCCTGGCTTCCCTCGGGAGATCTAGTGAGGGACATTCGGTCAACAGCTGCGCTAGCGTCTCCGGGACCAGGCTGCAATGTTGGCAGGTAGGATCCCTGTTGTTATCTAGCCACCAGAAGTATGTGACTATGGTTCAGTGCTCGGTGTGCATCTGCGTCACTAAGCTCTGCTCTCTGCGCCCTAACCCCCACCATGGGTCGTGTTTGCTATGAGTCGGCAGGTTTGAAAAGACGCCTCTGGCAGTCTTGTTCTCTGCCCATTGCCCGTACCATTTCGTCATGAAATGGTCCGCCAGCCAGTTCTTAATTCCCAAATATGATAATGGTACTTTTGGCTGAGGCTGGACAGCCCCGTTTTCGCCAGAATGTCTGCTTTCTCGTTGCCACTGACACTGACATGGCCTGGGTCCATTCCACTTTGACCTTGCCTCCTAGTTCACTGATATTGCACACGTCATCAATGCTGACTTCAACTATGTGAGTCGTTCCTGGTCTCCTTCTCAATATCTCAATAGCCAATCTCGAGTCCGAGTACACGATCACATCGAGCATCGCAAGCTCCGTCACTTTTAACGTGCGATACACTCTCTCTAGGGCCCTGTGAATAGCCTCGAGCTCTGCATCGAAATTCAATGCTGCAGTCCCACAGGGCCCCGAGACTTATTCGTTCGGTGGTACCCTGGCAGATATAGTATGAGCGCACCATAACCAGAGGTTCTTTGTCTCAGCTTTTGCAGAGCCGTCTGTGAACACTTTCACTGGTATGTTGGAAAACACAGCCATGGTCTCAAGGACAGCTGCTGTCTGCCATGAACATGTTCAGGGCTGCGATTCATCACTGCTGCATCGGTCAAGGCCAAATGTATGAAGGGACGTGAGGGTTCCGCATATAGTGGATTTCATGGCATAGGGGTCAGTCGTTCTCTTTTGCAAGGCAGGTTGACTGTTCTCTCAAGTTCAACGCCCTGGTGTATGAAATAGGATCGCATTATCTCCTGACTGCCACCCAGTTTGCCTGCATCTGGAACTACGGTTCCTTCTCGTTTAACCGTCGGTACCGCTATGCGGTAGTTAATATTGCTTTTTCCCTCCTTATTTGTAATAGTTTTACATTGGCCAAGACCTCTATATCAGCAGTGGATGTGTTCCTGAATGCGCCACAGATGAATCTCAGATCCTGATTCCAGATTCGGCCAAATTTTTCCAATGCTAGCAAAGGCTTGGACTGGCATACTGTAATACATCACTGACCGTACACTGCCTAGAAATAGAGATTTTAGCGTTTTGCGCCCGCTCCCAAATTTGTGCAAGCCAATTTTTTTCAACAGATGAAGCTTGGCGGTTGCCTAGAAGCACAGGTCTTGTAGCACCCAGTAGCCCCAAAGCCCACAGTCGGCCTCGGCTCCGACACCAACATGCAGGGGAGGAAGGGATTCGAGTTCCCATCGCTTAGAGTTATGTTTGATTTACTAGCCACATGTAATGAATAGTTAATAGGCATTTTTTTCTTACCTTCTCCCAGAGGGAGACTACAAAGCAATCCACCTTCACATTGGGAGACAGACTTAGTGACTTGAGTTTTTAAGCTTCAGGTAGTCAAGTCTACCCTACTAGTCGGTCGCACCATGTAGAGTCAAATGTCTTTTACAGCCATTATTTGTATTGTCGTTTCCCCATTGCTTGTATTGGAAATTTCACATAGGTTGTATAGGAAATTCCTTTTTAGTTATATAGAGTAAATTTCCATTGTTTGTATACGAAATTCATCAATAGTTGGATAGCAAATTCCCCATTGTGTGTATAGGTAGTCTGCTGTCTAGCGTCTGCTTTCTGTCCTTCCCCTCTGACTTGTCCAATTTGTAACAACGTGTTGATATAACAGTCAACTCCAATAATTCCCCCCCCCCCCCAACGATATTGCGTGATCTATGTTGTTACACTAACAGTCACCTCCAGGAGTCCCCACGATATTGCGTGATCTATGTACTTACAATACCTGTGGGTTTTTTTTTCTTCTATTAAAATAGGTTCAGCCCTGTTGGGCACGGCTGTCGCTTGCCTAGGGTCATCAATATTTTCCCAAGGTTAATTTCATACAAGGACTCTCAGTGAACATACCCCAATGATGAAATAATAAAGGACGGAGCGCTAGAATGAAATTCATCGAGGTACACGAACAGGATGTTGAAAGCCACTTAAAGAAAAATTTGAAGCATCAGATTAAGGAGTCTCCAATGAAATCCATCGACGCTTTCCAACAGTAAAATGCTCAAATATGCATATTTCATTTTAAATAACAACACTAACAAAAAAAAAACAACACAATTTTAAAACATTAAACTTATTTCAATTTAGCCTTGTTGCTATTCCTTACATTATTGAAGAAACAATAAACGATTTGATTGCATCCACTGCTGTTGTTCACGTTTGTAAGGATGTCTTGAACAACGTTTCAGATTGTTTCTGTCTCTTCCTACGTAGATTGCAATAGGGGTTTGTTATTAAATGGCGGCAATCTATAAATAGAACATCCGATAATCCGGTTGATCAAGTGATAAACTTAAACGAGACTGCGAAGTGGACTAGAGGCCGACCGAATTTCGGCTTCGGCTTCGGTTTCGGCGCCGAAAGTGGCCATTTTATCACTTTCGGCCAAGTTTCGGTTTCGGCCGAAACTGGAAAGTTAACTTTCGGCTTAATTTCGGTTTCGGCCGAAAGAGAAAAGTTAACTTTCGGTTTTTCTTCGGTTTCGGCCGAAATTGACTTTGACTTTCGGCCATCCGGCCGAAAGTTACTCAGGTTTTCAGTCATTTAATACTAAGCGAAAGCGATATTTAACAAAAAACTAAGCGACATTTAAGAACAAATTAAGCGATCTTTGAGAACAAACTAAATGATATTTAACAACAAACTAAACGACATTTATGAACAAACTAAACGATCTTTAAAACAAACTAAGCGATCTTTAAGAACTATCTAAGCGATCTTTAATAACAAACTAAACGATCTTAAAGAAAAAACTAAACTACTAAATGATCTTTAAGAACAAAACAAATGATCTTTAATGATTTATAAGAATAAACTAAGCGATCTTTAACAGAAGACTAAATGTTCTTTAAAAACAAACTGAAAGATCTTTAAGAACAAACTAAGCGTTCTTTATGAAAAAACTAAGCGAATTTACAACAAACTAAGCGATCTTTATGAACAAACTAAACGATCTTTAAGAACAAATAAAGCGATCATTAATAAAAACTAGACGATCTTTAACAACAAAATAATGCGATCTTAAAGAGCAAACTAAACGATCTTTAACAACAAACCAGGCGATCTTTATGAACAAACTAAACGATCTTTAACAACAAACTAAACGATCTTTAACGACAAACTAAACGATCTTTAACAACAAACTAAACGATCTATAAAACAAACTAAACGATCTTTAACAACAAACTAAACGATCTTTAACAACAAACTAAACGATCTTTAACAACAAACTAAACGATCGTTTACAACAAACTAAACGATCTTTTACAACAAACTAAACGATCTTTAACAACAAACTAAACGATCTTTAACAACAAACTAAACAATCTTTAAGAACAAACTAAACGATCTTTTACAACAAACAAAACGATCTTTAACAACAAACTAAACGATCTTTAACAACAAACTAAACGATCTTTAACAACAAACTAAACGATCTTTTACAACAAACAAAACGATTTTTAACAACAAACTAAACGATCTTTTACAACAAACAAAACGATCTTTAACAACAAACTAAACTATCTTTAACAACAAACTAAATGATCTTTAACAACAAACTAAATGATCTTTAACAACAAACTAAGCTTACTTTAAGTACAAATTAAGCGATCTTTAAGATTAAACTAAGCGATATTTTAGAACAGTCTAAACAATCTTTAACAACAAACTAAACGATCTTTTACAACAAACAAAACGATCTTTAACAACAAACTAAACGATCTTTAAGAACAAACAAAACGATCTTTAACAACAAACTAAACGATCTTTAACAACAAACTAAACGATCTTTAACAACAAACTAAGCGATCTTTAAGAACAAATTAAGTGATCTTTTAGACACACATTTTTTAGAGACCCGGTTTCCAAAAAAATAATATTTTGCATTAATTTCCCCCCCCCTCCCCCTCACCCCCCAATTTCTTCCAAATTTTCTCCTACCATAAAAATTTGAAAAAAAATTGTAAAGCAATTTAAATTAGTTTTATATTAAAATGGTAAAATCCAAAGTATTCATTAGATCAAGGGTATCAACTCAAATTATTTTATGGGGGGGGGGGGCGCGCAGGAGGTAGTGTCTGAATGAGAGTGGGCCGCATCAAGTAATCCACACAAAAAGCGATTACAACTGTTACAATCTGGTCAACCTTTATCAATAACAAAAAATTATTAAGGGTTCTCAAGAACTAGGATTCACTTTCATCCACCTACTCACTGTTGCCAGAGAGCTGGCATACAAAAATATATAGAGACATTTAAAAAAAATCAGAATTAGATTACTCGGTGAGATTCGACTGAAACCGTCGCGGAGAGTCACGTTATAGATATGAGAATGGGGGAAACGGGCCGGCGCATTTACACTAAACTTTTCTGTCATGTAGCGGACCGCAAAATATCGTCTTGCGGGTCACAAATGGCTCGCTGGCCGCGAGTTTGAGAACCCTAAATTAGATTTTTATTTATTAATATTAACGATTATCTCATTTTTATAAAAAAGAATGTAAATATTTATATTTTCCCACATCATTTTCGATGTAAGCAGAATGTATGCGGGAAAAAATTTCAAAATATCTTAATATTTCATTTTCGGTTTCGGCTTCGGTTTCGGCCGAAATTCATTTTTAACTTTCGGCTTTTCTTCGGTTTCGGCCGAAAGTCATTTTTAAACTTTCGGCCTTTTTTCGGTTTCGGCGGAAAGTCATTTTAAACTTTCGGCCTATTTTCGGCTTCGGCCGAAATTAGAAAATCACTTTCGGTCGGTCTCTAAAGTGGACCTTATTCTAGACAAAAACCTTTTTTTTCGACTGTATTTTATGAAAGACTTCACTTGCCATATTTCTAAGAAAACCAAAAATTAACATTACATGGTGCGCTATGACGTTTTCAGGGCAAAAGAAATGATAACCCCTGTGTTATATTTAGTAATACTGATAATACTATGTCCAAAACAAGGACACCTAACACCTCTGGTCTGCTGGATTTCTAGATTTTTAATAACTAGCTACAAGTAAAACAACATGACCTCTGACCTCTCAACTCAAGAAATCACGAGAAAAACGGTTGGAGAACAAAGGGACGCAACTGTAACAATACAACAACAACAACGACATCACAATATCTCCCCCTGTCTGGAAAGATGTGCCACATAACAACATCCCCCCTCTGTCTGGAAAGATGTGGAATATCAATGTATCACCCATTCTGTCTGGAAAAGGGTACACATCACAACACACCCTCTGTCTGGAGAGAGGTGACACATCAAACCATTGATAAAAATACATATAACCAACTCACGATACAGGTAACTTAATTAATACACTGTCTTCGACTAATTGTAGTCTTTATTTCCCGCCTTGGTCGGTTTCTTCGTTACATGGTTGCTGATTTGATTTAGGTTCTTGTTTATCTGGTAACTCTGGATGCCTGATGTCATGATACTTGATGTCAGAACTTACAATGTGTGTATCAGGGTGTGCATGTGTTAGAGGGGTCTCCAGGTGGTCCTCATGATGTTTTGGTTCTGGTACTCAATGGGGTGCAGGAGCATGCTGATCGTCCATTGGTACAACGTTCTGATCATTCATTGATACAACAGTCTGATCATCCATTTGTCAACAGTATGATCATTCATTTGTAAAACAGTCTGATCATCAATTGGTACAACGATCTGACCATCCATTGGTACAACGTTCTGATCATCCTTTTGTACAACAGTCTGATCATCCATTTGCACAACAGTCTGATCATGTATTGGTACAATAGTCTGAACATCCATTTGTGCAACATTCTGATAATCCATTGGTGCAACAGTCTGATCATCCATTGTTACAACAGTCTGATCATCCATTGGTACAACATGCTGATCATGCTCTGGTACAACAGTCTGATCATTTATTTGTACAACAGTCTGATCATCCGTTTGTGCAACATGCTGATAATCCATTGATACAACAGTCTGATCATGCTCTGGTACAACAGTCTGATTATTTATTTGTGCAACAGTCTGATCATCCATTTGTGAAACAGTCTGATCATCCATTTGTACAACTCTTCTCAGACGCGAACGCTGCCACAATGTCAGATTTAATTATAATATGTTTAACACAAGGAAAACTAACACCTTTGTTCAGCTGGATATATAGACTGTTAGTAACTAGCTACAGGTAAAACAATATGCCGTCTCATATCTCACCTGAATAAATCATGGGTCTATCTTATGGACAAAAAAGAGACGCACCTGTAACAGTACAAGAACAACGCCATCACAGCATCAATTTAGTCTGTTCTACAAGGCTGCTCAGACACATCAGCTAATGCAAATATTAAAGCTGTTATCATTGTTCCATACACGATACCAAAATTATTTCACAACACAAATTTGATCGTTTTTATTTTTAATTTTTCAGATAACACAAAGAAACCTCACAAAATTTTAGACATTTATTTATCTGAACGTAAACATAATGCTGGCCATTTAATATCTATAGTTAAGAATCAAATAGGAGACTGAAAGACTGTTTGTTTTTTGAACTAGCATGTCAGATCTACTTTATTTTTGGTATTAGCTTTATTCTGCTTTGTCCATAGTAGGAGGATAACATTGCACCACGTGACAAATGTTAATAGAAAAACAAATGCCTTCAAGTAACGCACATTATGAGAGACCCAATAAGACTACCCTCCCCCCCACCCGTAAGCAAACGCATAACTTTTGTCCACGCCCCTGAACTATATTAATATACTAATGTCCCACCCACTTTTACACCGCACTTTTGTTACACCATTTGACTATTTCCGAAAAAGATAAGAAAATATTTTGCAATACATACATTTAGTGCAGCTGTCGAGAATTTTATTTAGTGAAGGCGTTAGTGGCAATAGCTGTAAAAAAATTGTGACGTAGAAAATTATATATTTTGATTTTAATTGATTTGTTGTTTTTTTGTTAGTTTGTTATTTTTAATGTTTTTTGTTGGTTTTTCCTTCGTTTTGGCATAAAGGAGGAGGGGTGGCATTGATAATTAAGTACTCCTCGGCTATTTTAATCAAAGAAGAGAGTTTGTCGTTCCCTCAAAAAAAAAAGGATGGAGTCAACTTCCACACAGAT